CTTACCTCAAACAAGTCGTGCTATTGAAGGCCATGTTCAAAGGGCATTTATGGTACACATCTTCAGTTGCATTGCCTAGATGGTCCAAAGCTTGATGCCAGGTGTTTTTGGATATTATTATGATGGCCTCATGAAACCATGCCAAAACCAGAAATTGCTTCCAGGTGATTTCCTAACACCATGCAGATGTACTAACTGTGCAAAAATACACAGTCTCCGCAGGCAGAGCAAATATCCACATTGTTCATACTGTGTCTGCCAGGCTTCAGGCAAAGCTTGCAGAAACCCAGTAATTTGAGCTGTGATAGTATCAAAAGGATCCTTTCACCCTAAGACACTCAAAGTATCCAAATAGATTATAAAACTGTGATTTTTACTTTTGATTGACCAAAAGAAACCATTAGTGAACCTAAATGACCTGTTGACCTTCCAAGTCTGGGCCTATAGTTTCAATTACTTTTTATCAATTATCTATTATTCAAACAGCCTTCCCTGAGTTCTTATAGAATTTCTAGGTTTGCAGTTTATTTAGAGGATGTTTTGTAATTTTCTGGATTTTGATCAAAATTCAAAACACCAACAGGGGGTTGATTTAGAGATGATTGTTTCAAAACATACCCACTTTGTACTCTTTCACAAACACAGAATAAAACTATTATATCTTTATTCTTTCAGTTTATAATTTTGTATTTAGTCTCCAGAGTCCGATATTTTGAGTAACCCCCTTTGACGTCATAGTTTGACTTCTGACGACCTTGATATCTAACCAATCAGATATTCAATGATTTTATCTTATAGCTGCAACTAATAGCTTCATTTTAATGGTTGTTAGGTTGGAAAATATGCCCAATTTGCAGAGCTAGCTCCAATTTAGTTTCCCCTACCCCCAAATTTATTGGTCTTTTTGAAGTCGTTGATTTCATACATCATGGTGATTTTCTCACTTTGTGCCATATTTCAGAATGTCTAACCTCCCTGTTATAGTGAGTCATATGGTCTTCTAACCAAAAATGAAGTTAAACTTTTTAACACACAGAAACCCCTCAGCTCCTGAACTATACTGTATTCTTCTGAAAAAAGTATCACCTCAGTTTCTTCATGAATGTTTCCTTTCTTTACTTAGAACCAGAATATTGATTATCATTAATTATATGAAAATCTAATTAATCTGGTAATCTTTAAAGCTGTTTAAGCAGAACACAGGGACACACCTGATCAAACATTCTAATTATGCCAAATTTCTTACATGAAATGTACCTTATCCTTATGTTGTATACGAGAATGAACTTTTCAGTGAGTAACTTCTTTCTGCCTCAGTGAAAATTTCTAGATTGAATAAGAAATTGTTTTATTACTTAATTCAGAAAAGAGGCCTACACCTTAGGCAGAACAAGTACTTCAGAATGTTCTGAGTTATATATATTCCATATCAAGTATGGATAAACAGAAAATAGTGATGGTTTTAGTGTTGGAAACAGACACCTGTAAAAAATGCTGCATGAATCATATATTTTTACATCTAAGTAAATAAAAAATTGTTTTCTAAGGTAGGAAACTTAAAATACATTATTAATGAAATACATTTAGTTATAATAAAGAATTAATGTTATATCCAGTTATCATATTGCATGACTCCTTATTACAGATATATCATAAACATAAGGTTGATGTATAATGTGGATAAAATGGGTGGAAATTAGGATATCTAAAATGCCCCATAGAAAAAATAAAAATCACATTTACACTTGCCTTCAAATAAGTCACTTCATTACATAAATGCTTGATGTCATAAAACCTTCAAACTAGATGTATCTTTAGAAATTCATAATACCAGAAGAAATAGAATTTTTCAAAAATTGAAGAAGGATCAAGGTTTACTTCCCATTTAGTAAACCTTCTTGAAGGTTAAAGTACTCTTTGGATACCTGCTAAAACAGGATGTGCTGTTACCAGTTTATTCTCAAGAAAAGAACTAATTTTCCTTTTTTATCTCATACTAAGCATTTAGTTTTTAAACCCGTATTGATAAATCCTAAATTTACTACAGATTGCACCACCCTCGTTCAGTATTCACTGGTTAGGCAGCATTACTGACTTAGGACAGTGATGGACATTAGTTTCTGTGACAAATCTGTCGAATACTTTTTTACATCTTTTACTGCTGACTCACTGATGTGACTACATAACCTTGGATTTCAGATATTTTACTCCTAAGAGAGAGCAAGTAACTTGTACCACAGGACTATCACTAACAGAAAGAAGTCTAATGGGCCTGGGCTAAATCATATCTGCACCAGTAATGTAGTAAACTGTTTTCTTAATTTGCTTTTCTCATCCAGCTTCATTGGCTCAGAGGAACCACTACTTGAACACTTGCTTGGCCCTAGGCCTGCTAAATTAGCTCTAATTATGAAATGCAGTATATTGCTTAGCTTGGAAAGCTGTACCATGTGTTGATTCTTTTATCTTTATTATTAACTCATCTTCCATTAAAAATTTACTCTTCCTGAATTATATTTATCTGTATAGAGCTACAAAGTAAGTGGGATGTTTCTTCTCCATAAATTATAGTATGCAGGAGTGAGATAAGCCATTCTATGTACCCTATGTCATTGTAGTATACTGAGGATATTGTTTAAAAATATGTGCTAAACCATGGTACTGTTAGCCTTTTCTGAAATGGAGGAAATCAGGGACCAAGCCTAATCGGAATCATACCCAAATCAGGATTATCACCCTTTAGGTCAGGCCTAATTGCATGACCTGTGGAACTTGGGAAGATAGACCTGGAACATTTTTTGTCCATATCTTATTAATTTTCTGTGGGCAGTAAGAATCTGTAGTTTATAGTCACCTTTGAAGTTTATTTGTTACTATTATGTAGCTATAACATTATAAAAATGATAATAAATCAAGGCAACGCATGCCTTATACCAGGGGAATGCAGCTGTAATGTAACCCATAAAAGACCATGGTTAGGTGGTGGCTCAGACATGGGCTGTCTGCGTAGTGAAACCCTGGCTCGAGAGAGGAGTGCACAGCTGATTCTAGTACCTATAGACTTTGTACTAATGATCTGTATCATAGAAATATCAATTAATACATTTTATTAGCTTATGTAGTGGACTATAGATCAAATGCATTCTTTGGTTGTAGCTGACCACTGAGTTAGGTAACCATTTTATTGTTTTGCATAAGAGAGAGTAGAGTACATCTTTGGATACTTGAGTGCATTGTATACAATGAACAAACATCATTTTATCAAGTTAGTTAAATCATTATGGGTATATGCAGAAAAGCTACATATTCAGAAGACTAACAAAGCAAAGAACACATGTGCTAAGGATGGGTTTCTTCACATGCTTACTTATTAAACATATATATATTTCTGCTACAGCTGAAGGAAATATAACCGCAAGGCTTTTTAATGTGATATGATTACAGTGCATGCATTATTTTCTCTGTTTTACAGCAATTGAATGTTAAGATTCCTGCAGTAATTATAATATAGACATAACTGCTATATTGTAAAGTGTTACAGAAATAGTTCAAGGATTTTACATGAAAATCATAAAATGTGAGTGCATGCAGTATTAAACCTTTTTCTTCAATATTTCCTTTTAATCAACTAAAATAATAACACATTCAGTAGGATATAGCACTGAATAAATATTTAGTGATATTATTCTCTCTCATTGAAAATACTTGCACATTCAATATTCCCTGGGCGTTCAGTGTAACACATTTTAGTACGTTATGAAACTGCGGAATAGTTAGCAGCAATTAATCAGACAATGTTATCACGACTACAGGTAATACTATTGTACAACCATGATGTAGTTTCTATATACAAATTAAGAACAACATCTGTAAGGAAGTCGTACAGATATTGAGTACTGTAAATAAGAATTTTAACACATATCTTTGGTTAAAAAAGAAAAGAAAAAAATGCACATCGGGTATTGAAATGACAGTGTTACCTACAGTGTCCAGTGAATTTTGAAACTGTCTATGCATTTATTTCAAGACTATTCATGCATCAGTTTTCTCTCCATAATCCATTATAAAGGCAAAATCACTGTTTAAAAATATATTCCTGGATTTGGTTCTGTCTTTTCATATATTTGAGCACTGACAAGCCATTGTTCCTTTTTTGATTTAGCCTCAGTAAATAATTTAAAAGATAACAAAATTCAAAGAATTTTCTTTCACCTTCTGCTCTAGGTTTAACATTCTTAAGAGATTGTAACTTTTTGATCAGGATTGTGTGATGGACTATCTTGAATTGTCTGCCATGTCATGTGTGCAAATGACAGCTACTGAGAGGTTCTCTAACAGCAGCAATCTACAGGTAGATATCCATATATTTGTGTTATTATTTCTCACATCTTCATAACCAATCCATTTTATTTAATTGTAAAACATCTATGGTATATCATGTTTTGATTTGTTGATAACAATTAACAATTACATTACAAGGTTATTACTTGCAGTTTAAATATATTGATTGTTTTATATCAGCTAGTAAAATATAGAACAGTTTAAAATATTCATATGTACATATTTATAATTCAGATGTCAACAGGAGAGCCTATTCTCAGGGACAGGAGTCTACAATATAGAAGTCTATTAGAATTTGTTGAAGATAGTTTAGATGCTCATTTGCTTTTGATAATGATGATTGTTAGTTTCTTTTGATAATGCAATCTTTAGGAGTCATGCGAAGCGTTAACGTTGCTAAAGAAAATGGATAAAATGCTGTCCTTACAAGATGCTCTGTAAAATAATATATGCATGTATACATTACTTATGTAATATACTGAATCAACAATCAAAATATCATCTGCTGAAAATTTTGGAGTGTTTCAGCTACATCAAATACCTTACATTTTGCAAGTAATTAACAAAATTATAGAACACAGAAAACAGGTATTCATTATCAAGGTTTAATCAAGTGCACAGGAATAGAGAAAGGATGTTCTAAACAAAAAAAGAAGGGAAAAAATCTTGTCATGTATATTTATTAACAAGGTATATAATACACAGGACTATCACATGTAATTATGTGACCTTCCTGATAATCAAAATAATATAATCCTTTAGAATACATACAATATTCTTATAACTGTCCAAATACTTACAATTCATTATAAGGCATTTGTGGGCTTTTGATCCAAGGCAGTGTGTGAGCCAGTGATTAATTACAGAGTTATACTTCTCACTTAACATATAATCAATCTTTTAATACTGCCTTTGAAATTTGTTCAAAATTGTATTATCAACCCTTCACAGACTTCTTGTAGGTAAACCAAACTAAACTATTTTACTACTTATGTACACATGCATAAAAACATGGCATAGCCATTATTTAAACAAGATATCTGTTTTCTTATGAAAAACCTACACAAGCTGAACTTCATAAATATTGACAAACACAAATGCATTGAGCACTGGTCAAACTACTGTATAAAAGGCCACTTTGGTCACTGTCCTGTACCTACAAAAATTATGATAATAAAAAATAAAAACAAATAAATAAAGTAGTTGAAGTTTAAAAGCATCTTCAAGTTTCAATGTTAACAAAGTTATAAAAAAGAAAAATATGCCTAATTCTGAAAGTTTTCTTTCAGAAAACTTTCACTAGACATTTGAAAAAAGTCTGTAATGAAACAGAAGACAGAAAGAGATCACAATAAAACAGCCATCATTTCATTTTTCATCTGAAATGCTTTTCAGAATCATGAGACATGCAGCCACCTTTTGAAAACTATCTGGTCCCACATGAGCACTGGAGGCACTGAGCAGACTGCATGATACCCAGGTTAGATAATGGTAATTATCTTCCTGGTCCAGTTCCAATGAGTACACCTTGAAAAAAGGGGGGGAGAGGGGGAAAGACACACACACATGGCCTTACAGTACATTCGAGTTTCATGACTATTACTGCAAGACCGTTCTCTGGTTCTTTCTTTGAAAAAAGGCTCCTCATATGGGTCTGTGGTCAGATACACGGTTCCAGTAATAATTTTCTGCAGCCACAACTCTGGGTGATGATTGGCTGAGTGGTCCATTTGGGGTAAGAGGAGGAGGATACTGAGTGGCTGGGGAAGAGTGTAGAGGCTGTGGGCCGCGCACAGCACCATTGTGAAGATAGGCTGGTGGATAGCTGTTTGTGGCATTGGGAGGGGGATGATACCCACCATGGGAGGAGTAGGGGGGTCCCGGTGGTCCAGGGGGAGCTGGAAGACCTGGTGGTAAGGGATATGAGCCAGGCGAGGGATGGGGGAGAGTTGCTGTGGAGCGGATGTTGGTCCCAGGGGGCGGGGGACCCACAGGTGACCCCAAAGCGTTGGGATTTAAGGTATCTGGAGAAGGAAGGGAGTACATAAGTAAACAGATGTATGAAGTCATTATTACTATAGATATATATATATATATATTTTTTTTTTCTCTTCTTCATTAATGTCAGACCAATATAACTCAATTTTTTTTTTTTTTTTTTTTTTTTTTTTTTTTTTTCCTGATATTACTTACCCAAATGCTGAGGGAGTTTCCCACCACGCTTCACCATCAGAGACACACTGTTTCCACATTGTTTTATCAATTCAATGGCATCTGCATGAGTCATATCCTTTGTAGACATGCCGTTGATTTCCATCAACTGATCGCCAACCTATAAATATTAAAATATTTTGAGAATTTCCAATCAAAATGTTAGAACCCTTCCTTATTTGACTCAAAACTTTAAAATCAAGTGAAAAGGAATATTTTCTTCCACTAAAGGGGGTGTCACACTAGCACAATTTCCTTGGTTTTTTCATGTTTCCGTGAATTTTTCTCGCTACTGCTTGTATTTTGGGTGAATGCAATAAATTCCAGTCAAACGATAATTATCGTTTTCGCTGGCAAGTTTCCGTGGTCTTTTTTGGTTCAAATGATAAGCTATCATAGAAAATTGTTATAGTAATGTAAAAAAAAAAAAAAAAAAAAAAAAAAAAAAAAAAAAAAAAAGTATTTATGATATAAAACGATTCAAAAAGTCAGTCTAAACTGTAAATAATATTTCAAAATTGGCAAAATTCTCTCTTGTATTTAATAAAAACAGATACAAGTTTGTAACTAGCTGCTCCCCTCTTTGTATCTACGTTCCCCTGTCACCTGACTAGATGAGAATAGCGGGAATACGCCCTTATTTAGCATTATACATTCGTTGTTTCGCATTAAATCACCGCCATATAGCCCAAATAACGTCCATCATCGCCAGAGCCTGTGCTAGCAGCCTGTTACCGTGGTTCTCATCACTAGTGTGACTGCACGAGCCAAAATGACCATGATTTCCGTGGTGACAGCGGAAAAGTAATGCGGAAAAAGTCCAAGTGTGACATGGCCTTAAGAAAATCAATATATAATGCATTACAAAATACCAAAACAAAAGTATAGAATACCAAAGACACAGCGCTTAAATTTGCTTCATACCTTTAGCTTCCCATCTTCTGCTGCTGGTCCATTTTCCGCAATCCTCAAAACAAACAAAGGCATGTTGTGGAATTCTCTGCCGCCACGAATGCTGAAGCCAAATCCTCTGGTTCCACGCTGGAGCTCTACGCTGTAATACTCGCCATCATCGCCAGCGTCACTCTCAGCCTAATAGAATAAATGGTTAGTAAACTTTGCTTTATTTTTCCTTTCCAAGAGATCAAAACCGTTTTCTTCTGAAGTTAACCTTTTAATATGATTGAAGAAAAAATGTTCCAGAGTACAGAAAAAAAAAGTTAATTAACTAAACCTTTCACCAGAATAATGGGAGACTAGGTAAATAAAGATTAAAAATAACAACTCCCCCTCCCTTTTTTTTGTATTTTCAATAACATATAACATTCATAGAAAATGAAGCTATTGAAAGAGACCCATCTTGCAAAATGTCTACAATTAATATGGCAATCATCAGCTGTTCGTTTCTACTAAACTGTCTGGTTGAAGATGTCCATCAAATCAGTTCCTCTGCATAAAATATATCCCCTTAAACACACTCACACATAACTCATCTCTCTCGCACACTCACTCACTCACTCACTCACATCACTCTTCTCTCTCTCGTCTCTCTCACTCTCTCTCACTCTCTCTCACTCACTCTCACTCTCTCTCTCTCTCTCTCTCTCTCTCTCACTCTCTCACTCTCTCTCTCACTCTCTCTCTCACTCTCTCTCTCTCGGACTCACTCAACTCACTCACTCACTCTCACTCTCTCACTCACTCTGTCGCTCTCTCACTCACTCTCCTCACTCTCACTCTCTCACTCTCTCTCTCACTCATCACTCACTCACTCACTCACTCATCACTCTCTCACTCACTCTCACTCACTCACTCACTCACTCACTCTCACTCACTCACTCACTCACTCACTCACTCACTCACTCACTCTCTCACTCTCTCTCACTCTCACTCCTCACTCGCATCTCTCGCACTCACTTCACTCACTCATCACTCACTCACTCACTCACTCACTCACTCACTCACTCACTCACTCACTCACTCACTCACTCACATGCACAGCGCCTGCCCAGACATACACACACAATTTTTTTTTTCAAAACTGATCACGAAATATCACTCTGCAGTAGGTTCTGATTTGTAGATATGACATTTTGTTGACTATTGCCATATAAAACAACAGAATACAGACCCACCCAAGAGCTCTTGCATTTCTTTCCCTTAGAACTGAACTCCAAACAAGTAATCACAACATAATTATATATATAAAAAAAGCAATAACAAGGCAATAAACATAAATTAAAACAGGAGAAAAAAGAGAAATCACACAAATCTAAAGGCAAATGACAAACAAACAATTTACTAAAAAGGTGGAGAAAAGAAGCAGGGCAGTGTGGTGTAAACAAGCCAGGCAAGCCAAGCAACAGTCCCATGTCTAACAAAGTGCAGTAAACAGGTCATGTATGTGATGAAGGTTTTTAAATGCATGAACTCCATGATACTCAACCAAAATTCGAGGTAAATCAGCCTGTAAAATGTTCAGTGTCTTTATGAATTGGGTGATAATATGAGAGGGTGTGAAACATTCAAACTGATGATTCAAAAGTGATTATAGTTTGTATTATGATTTTGCCAGTTCATTAATGAAAGTCTAGGGGTCCTGAGCTAACAAGGACACAGATATGTCATGTGGAGAACATATAATTATGCAGAGAATATACCGTGTGAATATGGTGACAAATTTTGATACGCAATAAATGTGGTACTGTATCATTATGTTCATCTCGTTGACACATCCTACCAGCATGAAGTATTTCATTATAACATATCTTTTAATGGATTCCTATAGAATCATTCTTTTTAAATTTTAACTTTCAATAATTCTTGAAACTACCATATAAAACACATCTTAGAATATAAACCACTTTTGAAATTTCAGGTTTTTGTGCTGGAACTTTAACTATTACAATTTGTTCACTGAAGCTGCTTGACCATGACATGGAAATGAACAACAGGTGAAACAGGTGTCCATGCTAGTACTGGCAACTTCAGTGATAGAGGAAGCCATTTTCACAGAAGCTTTGGTAAGGAAAGGCTGGATGTACCCTACAATCCCAAAGTTCTACACCAAAATGGTCAGAACCAGTTGTGCCCAAATAAACTTGAGTATATTTCTGGTCTTCTTTTCTTTTGGTCCCTAAGAATCAGTTGACACCACAACCTTAGGCTGTACAAGGGTGAATTAATGTAATCTATGTTGCTTGAAAGAAGCTAAATGATAAATGATCAAAAGAATCAAGGTCAATGTATACTAGAACTGATTGGAAAGTGAGCACACATTAATTTTGGCTGCACAAGTGTATGCATAGAATGTGATTCAAAATGTCCAGTGCTGTATACAGGTAGATGAACAATGACCACATAACCCCTGTTTGGGTGAAGGTGAGGTGAAGGTGAAGGCAGCCGGTGTAACCCACCTGGGTTGAGGTCTGGGCCGGGGCACCAGAGACTTGTGGGGCCGACACTGGCGTGGCCTGAGCCAGTATCATGGACCCCTGAGAACTCTGTGAGGAAAGAACCAGTCAGTTTGTCAGCAGCGTCTACTGTCTCCAGTCATATGGTAGCCATTCGTCACTTTATTTTTTCCATTTCTTTCTCTCTTCCCAATAAAAAGAACTAAATCAAACAACAAGTTCACTGTATGATGCACATCCTAAACAAAACCAATTTTGATTCCATTTTTTGAAAGGCTATAACAAGGGAAGATGTTATTCAGGTGCATTATTTTTGTCTATTTTTTCTTGTTTACCTCATACTTAAATGCGTAAGTGGAACATTCCTTTCATTAACTTGTCTGTTTTCAACGAAGTTAGAATGCCTCCCCTTTAATGGTAATGACTATGCTCAACTCACCTTTCTACATATATGAAAGCCACCTTTTTCAGCTCAAACTAAATACCTTTCTAAGCTAAACTATAACTCCTCAGTCCCCCAAAGTCTGTGCTGGCTATGCAGTAACAAACAATTAGTCCGTTGAATTGTCGTGCCTTAGAGCAAACCAACTGTCTCAAGTTTCGTCACTTATCTTATTAAGTATCTCAGCTTATCTGCAGCTTACCTTCTTTAATCCCTTGGTGAATGTATGAAATAATTGCATCTCTCCTTCATGCAAGTCTATTTTTTCAGCAAACCACCACAATTCTTGTTAAATTTTTACTGAGATTCAAGAGAAAGTATATGAAATATAGAAACAAGCTGTTAGTTTATATCCAATACCCTTTACTGCATTACTCCCTTATCATCACCATGCATGAGCCATGCATTGTGTACTTACCCGCTGAGAGTTGGATGTGGTACTCGATGCGTCATCTATGAAAGAAGAAAAGAAGGCACAACATATTAAAAGACTATCAGCAATAATTTTAATTAATGTACAATAATTTTAGATTACTCCCCCCCCCCTTTTAACTGATATATACAAAACACAACTATTCCTGTCATCTATCATTAATACTATCCTTCATCTAATACATTATAAAACTGTCATAAACTAATACAAAACTACAATCTTTCATAGGAAAAACATCCCTCGAAATCACCCAAAACATCCCAAAGCTCATGTACTAACCCCTGGGAGGGCCGATGGTAAGTGTGACTGAATAGCCCGATTCCTTGATCAGGTTGACAATATGGCCGTGGTGCAGGGTCTTGATGTCTACCCCATTGACAGCTAATATGCGATCTCCAACATGTAGACGACCACAACGCTCTGCTGGACTGCCTTCTATGATGCGACCTGAAAAGAGGAACAAGAGTTCTTTTACTGATGTCTTGTATATTAAAGAATGAAACCGAATGGGCAATGTACATGTTTTTTTTATCTATGTACAAATATGATTAAATACCTGCATTTCTGATACCAACTTCCTTGCACCCATCATACCATGGTGTTATGTTCTGCAACTATTTTTTTTTGCCAATAAGGAGCCTGATTTCCCCATTCCATTAATTTGTGGGGAATTATTTTCTTCTATTGCTATTGAAATATTCTTGTCATTGATATGATTACTATAATTTTATTTAAATAGTAATTACAATAAAAATAATTAAAAAATCAAAATTAATCTTTCCGAAAATCAAGAAAAAGAGTAAAAATGTAATATAGGTAGGACTAATAATTGTCTCCTCTATGAATAAGCACTTGTGGAGCCATCTCTGTGTAATCACAATTAATAAATTAAAATTACATCTACATGCATTCATTTTTCTGAAAAATCATAAGCTCAAACATATATGAAGTACCAGAAAATAAATCAGCGCAACATACCTATAGTGGAGCCAGACTTTGTGACTGATGATATAATCACAAAGCCAAAGCCTTCATTTTCTCTTCTTGTGACTTGTATATCATATGGAAACTGCATTTCCAGTGATCTATTATGAAGTTCTGAAAATTGGAAAAAGTTAATACACTTCTGGCATACAAATGGAAATAAAACTTTTACTAAAATTCATACGATATTAAACATACTATGATACAGATTCCACAATAGCATACCAGAGGGATTTTGTGTACGTCGTCTCAAAGTAAGCGTGACTCTTCCATGTGTGGCAGCGGCAGACATGAGCTGAACAACACGATGATGACTTGCTCCCAGCACCATTTCACCATCGACACCTACAATCTCATCACCAGTGCAAATGCTACGATCTTGGTCAGCTGCTCCACCAGGGACAATGTGGCCAATGGATACCTGCAAAGGAGATACCAATATGATTACTAATGATATGATCACTATTAAAACTCACTTAGAAATAGAAGAATGCATAGGTCATAATGGAAAATAAACATTTTCAGAGAAATCATAACTGAGCTTGGCTAACTCTGGATAGCTTACCTGAGACCCCTCTTCAGTTCCTCCTACAATTCTAAAACCAAAGCCAGTCTCTTGTCTCTTGAGTGTTACAGTGAACTCCATGTATCCTAGACTGTCGTTAGAACCAACAGGAGGACCACGAGGATTCACACTGTATCGCCCATCAGGGAATCTGCAGGAGAAATGTTTAATAAATTTATATTTACTAGTACAAAGTATACCACATATATCATGTAAAATATACTGCACTTAAAACATAAGTATAATTCTACAATAAAAATGAATAATAATAAATAAATACCTGGGCATGCTAACAGGTGCTGGATGCTCATACTCAAAGCTAGTGGACTCTTTCCTTCTTCCTAAACTGTCAGCCTGGTTGTTGAAGCCATCAGAGTTGTTGTAACCTGCCGAGTTGTTTTGGCCATGGAAAGGTGGGTAAGGATTCCTGGCAGGAGGAATCTGAGCTTGTGAACTATAGCCAGAGTCTTGTCGGGGTAGATCGTAGCCATCTTTGGAATACTGCATGTAATCATAGCCAGAATTTTGTTCCATGCTAGTATTATGATTATTATTTATAAGGTTTGATGTATTGGAAAGGTTGTTGTTGTAATGTAAATAATGAGGATATCCCTGGTTGACGTATTCCTTAGTAGGTGTCTTGGCATTTGTTCTCTTCATCTCATACTCATAATGGTCAGCATGCTGTTGGTAGTACCCATCCTGAGCATATAGATCATTGTGGTAATAGTAACTATTCTGTGGGGGAACCTGGCCATCACCTTGACTATCCTGGCCAGCATTACGATTCATTTCCCCAATGTAATTTTCATAGTTGTTCTGCTCCAGGCTGACTTGTCCCATCTGTGCAGACATGGTGTTGACCTTAGAGTCATACTGGGAGTCTCCCTGTCCCCCAGTATAAGAGAATGCACCTGGGTATGGTGCATGAACTGAGGTAGGTGTATAGGGTGGTCGGTAATCCATGTTGCCTTCCAGCTGCCTGCTCCCATCAACCGTGTTACTGACATCAACACCGCTCATGACATTTGGAGTCTTCGGCCGATTTCGAGTATCTACAAGGGGAGTCTTAGGTCTATTTGGAATCACTTCCTTGGGTTGTGAACTGTACATATCTGCAGTTGGAGTTTTACTTCTGAAGAGCCCACTGGCAACTCCTGATTTCTTAGGGCTAGTTTGATCTTTGCGAATCCCTCGAGACTTTGTTGGTGAGTTGAGCCCACCTCTTTGCACCATGATAACTGCCTCCTGCCCTTGTGCACAGTCTTTCAAGACTTGCACCACTTCTGTATGACTCATTCCTTTCACATTTATATTGTTTATGTCAACTAAAATATCACCTTCAATCAAGTTTTTACACCTAACACGATCTAAAATCTTTTTCACTTTTTGTCCATATGCACTGTCCGCTATGGTAAATCCAAAGCCATTAGTACCTTTTACAATTGGTATAGTCAGATATTCTGGTTTGCTTAAGGCTGATGGATAAAAGTCTAAAATATCAGGTGTGTGATCAAAATTTTCAGAACTAAGTAGATCAGCACTCCCTGGTCGGGGCACTTCTTGAACACGTTCGGGATTGCTTAAGTCTGGCATTGATTTCGCTGTGTTCATACTCTCGCTCGAATTGTTTCTCGATCGTTCATAGCCTTCACAAAAGCCAGACTTCGATGATCGTGCATCTGCAAAGAGTGAAAGTCTTTTATGCACTGAATAAATGCAACTAATAGATTAATCAGTAGCAATACAATGAAATTTAGTTATTTATACATCTGGCAAACACTCACCTGCAGTCGTAACAGCTACAGTGGTTACAATTTCAGTATTTGGGTCGTTGGGATCAAAAGGTAAAGGATAACCTCTACAGACCTCTAGGTACACAGTGCGACCTGGGTCTATGTTTTGAAACATGTTCACAACGTCAGCATGGGTATAACCTAAAACACAGGTGTCACCCACATAGACCAGAACATCGCCTGCAAAGATACAAATGAAATTTTGTGTAAATATTAACCTAGAAAAAAAATATTCAAATATGGCATATTGCCTTTCCTGCATCTGCAAGTCCTAACTGATACATGAAGCAAAACTGTTTATTGACATTACCTGTGCGCAGTTTTCCATCTTGCCATGCTGGGCCATTCGGGACTACACTTTTGATCTGCAGGAACTCTTCTTCATTGTCATCACCACCAACGATCGTGAAGCCCAACCCTCGTGATGACTTTACCAAGCTGGTGCGGATAAATTCACCCTGCAGCTCTGCTGGGTTACGGGTGAATATTATACCTTGGCCTGAATGGTCTGAAAAATTATATCAAATGAGTAATTTAAATTTGAAATTCATCTAAACAGGATTTTTTAAGATAAACCAAGAGCATAACTGAATTAACAAAAAATGCATCAGTATTTCAGTATATACTGATTGCCAAAATAAGTAAAAGTGGTATAGAAATTATTTTAATAAATCAGTTTTATATCAAAAATTTTCCAGTGCTGTTACTGAGTTAGTGGTATATAGGTTAGCCCACCCAGTCGCACATCTCAGGTTAATGTAGTCGCACTTATTAGTGTGTTACCATAATTAGTAAGCGAAAATATCTCCTCACATCAGGTACCATTGGGGATTGTGTTCAAGACCTATTCACATTAATACACATACATACAAACACATAAGATACATTCTCCATGTGTATTATAACAAAAATCATAACAATTGTCAATAAGTAAAAAAAAAAAAAAAGAGCCAAAGCTTAAACCAGCCCAGCAGAACAATCATTAGCAGAAGCATGAAGCAGCCAACACTATTTTTTGGAGAATACCTTTCCTTCTTAAGCTGACTGCCGATACTATAGGGTCCTCCGATGGACGGTAGAGGGGGGAGGCAGAGGGAGTAAGGACAGAGTAAGGGTAATAGCTAGAGTATGATCTTTGGTGATGAATTACTGGGTATGCTAAATCCTGGGTGCTTGGTAGTGGTGATGACAAGAACCTTGTGAGAGGGTAAGGTGTTGGGGTAGGAAATTGGGGTGGGCTACCTCTTACAATGTGGCTCGGGCTGTACTGCAGAGGACTGGAGCCTGTGCTGTAGTTGTACCTGAGGCTATTGTAAGGACTACTGAACATTGGCATTGGTCCTTTAGGAGAGGACGAGGCTTGAGGTATTCGGAGGCGAAGCGATTTGGGAGCGAGATTTTGGTAGTTGGGAAAGTGGGGCTTGGCAAAATTTGGGACAATAGTTTGATTGAAGGTTGGATTCTTCACCTCTTGATTCCGAATTCCATGACTTAGTGTTGGTTTTTGGTTTCTACTAGCATTACTTTGCTTACTGGCTGAATTGATTTGGTCAGAAGGATGAAAATTATTGGGAGAAATGGTTAAGTTGTTTGGCTTTGAAACCTGAGAACTTTGTGAGAGATTGTTTGCTTTATGAGGTGTTCCACTAGCTAAATGTACAGGATCCATAGGGCCAGAAATGGTTAAATTTTGCCTAAGATTTAAGTTTGAATGTTTCTGAGAACTATCTGGATGCTTGTGATTGGGAGAAAGAGAGCGAGGACGAGGGAGGGAGTTCTTGTCCATACGGTTGTGAACCCGAATATACGTTTGCTGCGCTTGCACCTGCAGCTTAGAGTCTTTGCCTTCTGATGCCAAGCACGGTAAACAGGGCAGGTACAGCATGAGCCCTAGAACAACCCAGAGACAAACTCATTTACATACAGTAGCAAGCAAGTTGTACTGCTTTACCAAGATCCAATCTCATGTACTGTGTTGTTCCTTGCTTGCACAACTAAAATGTTATCATGACTTCCTAAGTACATTTGACAAGACAAACACAAAAACTGAGCTAGCTTACACTTGCTTTATGGAGCAGCAAAAACAAAACAAAAATACAGCTGAGCCATACTTGTCTCTGGACTGTTATAACAGAGACATTATTAGATGCAAACTACTAAATGCATGCAAAACATGTCCCCTCTTATGCCAGGAAATTAGAGAGTTAGAATCCCAGCTGGAACTTAGCTATGGTATACTACAAGATCAGAAATTCCATACATTCTGAAACACTGGCCTAATAATTTCTCAATGGAGATATTATTACACCTATAGTAAGAACTTTGTTATGGCTCAGAGGGGCCATGCCTGCATCACCTAGAAGAGACAGACTAGGTTCATAAAAGGCAAAGGGTTCACACACTGCTGCTGCTAATTTTGAATAAAACAAAACAAAAAACAAAGCACACAAAAAATACACAACATTCAAAGGATTCATATAAAAAACAAGAACTGATAACACTGGAAAAAACCCTAACCACACTGCCTTTACTGAACACTCAAAGAAAGATGGAGTTGCTTAGGTACCTGTGTGGGAGGACTTTAGATCGCACTCACTGTTTGCACGTTTAGGGCCACTACCAGGAGGAGGCTGAGGGCCATCAGCTGTGTTTGGGGCTCCCACACCACTGCCCTCGTTTGCAGTCTTCTTCTGGCGAGGGAAAGTGTTGTTCCCACCTTCTGCTGGACTGTTTCCACCTCCTGCAAACATGAGTCAAGTTAGTATACTGTGAAATTTAAGTTTATATGAATTACCTTTCTTTTCTCCTTTTTGTAATGGATTCCAGCAAATACAAAAATTAAAACAAACTCGTTGCTGTGCTATTTGAAAAGAGGGCTTACCTTGCTCTGTAGGCTGCTTCTTTGCCATGACAACAGGATTTTCATACTGTGTTTTTCTGTTCACATGGTCAATGTAGTATGTACCATACTGAGGATCATCTATTCTCTCCCACCCAAATGGCAACTCATCCTCACCACATTCTTCTGCATTTCTTTTTTGTACACGAGCTAATCTGGGATCCAACCAGGAAGACGTTCCAGCCACATGACTGTAGTAAAAATTGGTATTAGCAAGTCAATATCACCTCAACACTACTTAGTCTCGTCAAAACACAGCATATCCACATGTAAGTACAAAATTATCTGAAGAACAATTACTTACTCTATATAATATGGCTCCCCATTTTCAGTATACGCTTTCTCCCAGTTGGAAGGAAGTGGCCCAAGTTCTCCTGATGTTGGAGAGTCTGGAGGCTGTAGCTGCATGCCTCCCTCTTCTGCCACCATCCCCTGGTGCATGCCAGGAGGGCTGTAATGTGTTCCCGGCGGATAAGGATGCTTGGGTGAGTCAGGTGGAGGCTCTGTGCTGGTGGTGTTGGCAGCCATAGCTTCTACATTGGAGCGGTTGCGTCGTCGTTTACCTTCTGAGCTTGGGTGAGCTCCAGGTAAGACTGCTGCACCTGCTGGGCCCCGAGACAGGTGGTCCGGAGGTAACGATGGGGGTTTTGGAGTACCGTAATGGTTACCTAAGAAAAACATTGTCTATTAGGAAAAGGATTTTTTTTGTATGATCATCCATTTCATATAACATTGTTGGAAAGATTAAAGTTTCAAATGAAATTATTTGAAAATGTGCCATGTTTTGAATATTAGTGTACTAAAACTACTTATGACAGTAATAAGCATGCAAGTGGTATACAGAATGAAATGCTTACTTTTAAGCCTAAAGCTATGTATGAAGCCAGCTAAAAAGAAATACCTGATTTTTTATGGTAATAAGACTCCCCTGAAGACCAAAATTTATGAGCTGGACCAAGAGACCTGCGCCATTCATTTCTGTCTTCAGTCTGCTGTAACAGTCTGTTAATAAACTTTCTTTCGTTTTCTGGACTGTCTTTTCTGTCCACAATTGGGGAACGTTTGCCATCATCTGACAGTCTACCTTCTGCTGTCTTTGATTTTAGACTAATCCTGATGAAATTTTGGAGGTTGTTACCTTGTGGCTGTATGGCACGCCTTTGTCTTTCATGTGGTGTCTTTACTACACTAAATCTTGAGGGTGCATTTCTACTAATGAACAGAGTTCTTTGTGGTGGTGGTGCAGGAATAAAATGTGCATTACTTCTTCTCTTGAAATTAGAACTGGGACTTCTATCTTCTTTCACACCAGAATACAAACTACCATCCCCTTTTAATTCCAAATCTCCTTTGGCATCAATGTGTGGAGGATTATTGGGAATTGCAAAATGTCTTGATTTTGATACTCTTGGAGTTTTGACTGGAAGTGACTTACTAATTGTTTCTTTGTCATTACTACTGGCTCCTGAAGTCATACAAGTATTATTCATAGGTTTAAGATATTCATTTGAACTGGCAGATGAGGTTGAGGATGAAATGGAGTCCTTTCTATTATCGGCACTTCTAACATCTGACCTATCTGGATTATTCCTATCATATTTGGAAAAATTCACACTGTTATTTTGTGGAAGCCCACTTTTCACATCTGAACTTTGTGGATTATCTCTGTTACCAAAACTTGAATTAGTATCCAGAGCCAAATCTAAAACCTCTGATTCCTTAATCCATTTCTTATTTTCCGCCTTTTTTACATATGAGTTCTCTAGGCTATTTACAAGTTTGATATAAGCATCCCTGTTAGATTTTGAAACATTCTTATATTCATTCTGTGGATGTTCATGAATCTGTTTACTGTTTGATTTTAATGGAGACCTTCCATATTTTATGACACCATTGCCTTTTGGATGATCAATCAAATCTTCTCCAGAATTTTCAAATGACGAGAATCTATCTGATACCATGTCAGTTGAGCATCCATCTGGAACTGGCATGACATTTGCTCCTTTCGCAGGATATTGAATATCCACTGCAGACTTTTGGTCAAATAGATTTTGTCCAATATCTTTTTCTACTACAGTTTTGTGCTCTTCTGATATCATATTTTCTGTAATTCTTCTTTTAGGCTCATTCTGTCTTCCCAATAATTTCTCTTTATTAACAGCAATACTTTCCGCATATTTTTTCAGTGAAGAACTTCTAGGTGGTAGAGCTGGCTTCTCTACACTTGTGATTTTGATGTCTGAAGAATTGAATGTCATAATATACTTGCTAGTTCCTGTGTCCTGAATGCTATGATTAACTCTATAAACATTTACACTACCAGAAGATGAACTGTCACACCGATCTGATTGCTTTTCAAAACCTGAGTCATACATGAAATCATCCAAATTAACACTAGATATGTCACTATCTGTATATGATGCAGTTTCCATTGCAGTGCCATCTGGAGACACTGATAGTGCCTGGGGTGTGGAAAGGAAGGCTGAGTCACTGGTGTCTGACAAAGTCTCCTGCTGATGAATACCAATTATGTTATTTACCTCTTTGTCATAACTCTGGATATTATGGTGGAGTTCAGAGAAGCAATTGCCTAATATCATATGGGCTTCAGTAGAAGTGCTTTCTGGTGCAGTTTGATCAGGATTGCTTTTTATTACAGCAGTGTGAAAGGAGGGTGTGTTCTGGTCAATATTTTGTCTACTAAGAAAAATAGGAAACGTATCTACTGGGTCTACTGACTCCTCATTTGTTAGTAGAGAAAGATTATCAGCAGATATACTTTTTACATTAGGAATCCAATTTCCAAGGTCTACAGATGTTGTTTGTGGTTTTCTATTATAACCTCTGTAAATATTTGGAAACACAACTGATTTTCTAAGGCCTTCACTGTGAGCAGGTAATTTGTCACTGTCAACAGATGTGCTATCATCATTACTGTCACTACCAACAATAGTATCACTGTCCTCACTGCCACTAAAGAGAGACTCAAGGTCTGATTCTTCAGTTATATATTCATCTGACAGCGTTCTTCTCCTGGTTCTTTGATGAGGCTGAGTGAGGAGAGTCTGAGCTACGAGAAAACTACTTGGCATAGATTTGTAATTTGGGTCTACTGAAAATGATGCTAAGCTTTTACTTTTCCGCATAGAAGAGTTTTTACTACGACTAGAAGCTCTACGAGAAAAGGTACCTGTGGAATGATTATTTGGCAAAGATGCTTCATGCTTGCTGGACATGTAAGCTTGGCCACGTAATTCGTTTTCACTCATACGATAACGCTGACTTCCATTCCGAATAAAGTATTCCTTAATTTCGTTCGCACTGAAAGTTCGATTTAATTCTCTAAGTGAAGGGCGCTGAACCCCCTTTAACAATCTTCCTGGAAGAGTTTTGATTTTGTCCGAGCTATACTTTCCTGCCCTTGGTTGTTTTATGGGCAGAGAAAAAGAACGCAAGAGGTTGTTGCCATCCAGAGGTTCTGTATGTGCATCGGGATCCAACCCTGGTTCACTTTGGGGTTCACTAGGAGGGGCATCATCACTAGGCAATGCAGCCCTTGCCCTTCGCATGCCCATCCAGGGAGTAAGGAGAGGAGGAAGGCGTCTTCGTTCCATAACAGGGCTTGGAAATGTTTCAGAAGAGTTATGTGATGTGACCGATGCCATCCTGTAGCGCAACCTATGCCGGGTTATGCGCTCTGCAGTGTGTCGCTGCTGCAGGGCGGATGATATGGGGGATGGTACTGGTGTCCCATATTCATGTCCTGTAAGCAAAATACTTCACCTTCTGCCAAGTAACAAGTGTCACATCATGCAGTTGAGACACACTTGCCATCTAGCAAGAGCTACATCCCATGCACAATTGACTGAATGACCTCTTGTGCCATGTGACTTACAATAATAAAAAATAACATTAAATCAATTACTCAGACAATTGCCTTGCATACCTCTTGCAACATTTCTAGGTCTTCTATTTGTTTCTTTCTCGTAATTCAGAAGATAATCCCTATATGATGGCCTCCTAATAGGTAACGCCATCACTACAGTATTTGTACTGGTAGCAGCACTATGCTAAGGCTTATCTCAACGTACAATCTTACAGTATCTTATCACCAACTTTGAGCTTCTAATTTTAGGCCTGATAAAAAGGTATTCACTCAAGCAACTGGCTTTTGATGTCCCAGATTTACAGTGGGTGCAGGGGGTCTTCAACCCCCCCACCTGGAATTAACTTCATCCACTCTGAGAGTTTTTGCATTGTAAGTTGAAAATGTATTTATTTATTTATTTATTTATTTTGACTTTAACCCAACAAATTTCCCCAATATCCTGCCATGAGTGCAGTATGACTTTATATATAAATATATATCTATTCTGTAGCATCATTTGATATGTAAACAACACACATTGGCATAAGAGGTCATCCATTTATCATTTTTTTATTTCAAAATGATAAAGTTAGAAAATGCAGCACTCATCTAAACATGCTCTGCAAATATTATTGTTACTTATTATCCATTCAAGTATTTTGTATGCCATTTTTGAGACCATGAAAACTGTTAGTTTTGCAAGCAGTGAGAAGTATGCGATTCAGAGAAAACATTTATTTTATATGAAAGTGCTTATTCAGTTATTAGCAACATGCAAGACATGCCAGAAAAAAGAAAACCAAACTCAAGCCACTGTCCAGAGTGCAAACTCACCCTCAAAGACACCAGACTCCAGGAGGTTCCCGGATCTCTGCAGAGCACGAAATTCTTCCTTGGAGAGAAAAGTGTAGTCGACTCCGTTGACCTCCCCCTGACGTGGAGACCGGGTGGTCACTGGAACAGTACGCAGGTACACGTTGTCGCGGATGGTGTTCTGCAGCTCATGGTCCACGCTACCCTTTTGGAAACGTGTGTTCAGGTACTGCCGCAGATCACGAGTCAGGGACCCTGCAAAAGGAGAGGGAAGCCATTAAGTCCTGAAGTGAGGAACCACAGTGCCGTGCACAGATAACTGATATCTGCTGGGATAAATATCAGTACTGATTATAGTAGCAATTCTGCTTATCAACAATGCCAGAAATAGTGATGAGATAGTTTTCTTTCAACATTACCTGAGCCATTCAAGTGCTCAAAAAATGTGACAGCCCAGTTTCCTTTCAAGTTTAGTGAAGGCTTAAGTCATAGAAAATGAGCATATCACTGGTGTGAATGGCCATCATATTATCATCATACCATTAATAATAATAATAATAATGATAATAATATAATAACAGCAACAACAACAACATCAATAATATTAAAAATAATAATAATAATATTTATAGTAGGAGTAATAACAATAGTAATAACAATATTAATAATAGTAATAAAAAAAATAAAAAAAATATTTATAGTAGTAGTAGCAGTAGTAGTAATAGTAGCAGTAAT